TCCCATTCTTGCACAGGGAAATGGAAAAGAAACATATCTCAGCCGGATATCGAAAGTTTTTTCTTTCCTTTTTGCCAGTGCTTTCTGGCAGGGGAGATGAGGTTCTCTGCCATGCCCCTAAGAGAAGCAGACACTCAGAATTGTGAAGTGGGGATGCAGGGCTGTCTTCAGCCTGGTCCAAACATCCAGGGTGAGCTGTGTCTGTGTGACTTGAATCCAAGCACATATTATGGACTTTAAAAGGATGGCATCTAGGAAAGAGAGGGTGCTACTTACCTGGTTCTACCTTTCTCCAGAATCTTGGCTCTCAAGTCAGGTAGGGCCCACCTAGTCCAGGTATCCATAACACCTAGAAGTGTTCTTCAACTTGGACTTCAAGAGAAGGACAAAGAATTGATATTTCAAATGACTGAATGCTTCTAGGCTTAGGATAGGAGACCAGTACAATTAAATATGCAGAAAATATTTTTATTATCGTTATTGGCCAATACGTACATAGCATCTCCTATGTGCCAGGCCCTCTTCTAAGGTCTTAATATTTACAATCTTATGGGGTAGACACAATTATTATTTCCACTTTATAGATAAGGAAATTAAGTTCCAGTGAAGCTGAGTAACTTGCCTGAGGGTGCACAGCTAGAAAACGGTAGAGCTCATCACCAGTACCCTACACTGCCTCTCAAGTGTAATGAAGAACCATAGCAGCTAATAAGAAACCTACAGTCAGGATCGGCTAAGCAGGATGCTCCAGTTATTTCCCTGGTGGAAGTAGAATCTGTTCTTTAATTTTCGGACATTGGGCTTCCTCTGGGGGCCCCATGCTATTTAGGCAATACAGGAAATTTGATGCTTGGCGTTGTCTCCGCCCTTTGTTGCTATTTGCAGGTTCTTTCATCCTATCTGCAGCTGCTCGAAGTTCATGTAAGAACAGATCCTTTAGCAACAATGTTCCTGACAGGTTGGTGCCCTCTGAGATACAGTCTGCAGAACACCAGCTCCTGATGGATGTGGGCCAGTGGTTCCCTTCTTCGTGCACCGGCTCAGCTCTCCAACTTGGGGCCTCCGTGATTGCACCGCCCACAAGAGGCCACGTGCCTGTCCTCCCTTCAGCAGTAGGTGAGCATGAGAGGGGATTGATTTGCTTCTCTGGGCAGCAAGAGTAACTTCCTGATCCAAACAGATCCCCCACGGGACAGAAATGTGAATGTCTCAATCCCTCTTGAGGGGCATCATTAATCATTCTCCAGCTTCGACAGCCCAGGAATGTTTATGTTTAACCTCTCATTTTATCCAAGACCCCGTGTGTTCCACACCTGGTGAGGAATACCATCGGTCAGAAGGTTAGGGAGGGGTGAGTGAATCAGAAGATCTCTGGAGCCTTTGTAATTGCATGAGCAGCAGCCAGCTGGGATGGTCCAAGGGGCTGAGCGAATGAAGCAGGCTGGGTAAGCGGTTGTACTATGAAAGGGCAGTTGGAGCCCCTGCCTTCAGAACCTTCTCTGAGTCTGGCCCCATGAAGAGTAGGGAAGGAGGGGAGAAATGGGAGACCCCAAATAGCAGCAGCAGCAGCTGATCCTTTCCATCCAAGGGGCCATGATATTCTAGAACTAATGAGCCTGTCCAGGGAGGGCTGTGAGGTTTGATTATGTCCCCAGTGTGAGCCCCTACTGTGTTTTACATCTTCTTCCAACACAGAACAACACAATCTGGCTGGGAGACAGGATGTACATACAACTTACACCCTTACGCTGCTATCCCCCACCTGGAACTCCCTCCTCACCCAACACCTGCCTGGCAAAGTCTTGCCCACCCATCAAGACTCAGCTCAAGCAGCATCTGCTTCCTGGAGCATCCTCACTCACCAGAACCACAGCTGGCAACCCTGATGCCTGAGGCAAAGACAAAGACTAGCTTGGCAGTTCCTGATATGGCTAGTGGGTAGGGAGCAAGAAATTACTAAGTATGCACTAGTAGCTTCCTATTTAAATAATTATTCTTCATATCAGGCATCTTACTGGGTAGGAGGCATGTCCTGTCATCAGGTAAATGTAGCAATAGTTTTTGTTACAAAATCTAAAATTATTTTTTTCCCCAATGTCACACCCTTTATATTGGGCTGGCCTGGGGCAACACCATGGTTGTCCGAGTTCCAGCTCTGCCCATCATTCACCGCAAGAGATAAAGGTTTCCTCCTGTGAGCTCTGAGGCCCCCTGCTCATTTTGCCATTAGCGCGAGCATCCCACGTGAGTCTCTGAGCCTTCCCTCCCACGCGAGCAGCCAGCTTCCTGAGGACAGGAGGTGTCATCTCTGGATCTTCAGGACATAGTACAGGGCCTACCACAGCGTCAGAGCAGGACTGAGCTGACCAGATGTGCTGAGGGTCAGGGGTGGCAATGAGAAAACCACCTGGCTCACACAAAGGATTAGCCAAGAGGTGACCAAGACTTGGGCAGGTGTCACTCAAGGCAGAGGGGCCTGGAGGCTGCATTTGAGTCAGCCAGAGAGGGAGGGAGAGAAGGATGACAGGACCCTAAACGGCCCCCCTAATTCATAGCAAAACCAACTGCCTCTGGGAAGCAGAAGGGGCCCTGAGACCCATTCACACCCATGAGGCTGGTTCCAGGTACAAGCTCTGTCTGTTCATATGACAGATGCCTCATCAAGGACACAAACTGCAGAGAAATTACAACCCTTTGTTATGACTTCTCCCACAGTACTAAATACAGCATATCAGTCCCACGCTCTCTGTATCCAGATGGATTCTGCAGCCTCTCCACCCCACAGGGGACCGAGGGTAGAGCAGACACTAGCTCTGGGAGGGAGTCCTTGGGGGAGGACGAACCTTGAAGCTGAAGAATGAGTGCAGCCTCCAGGCTGGGTTTGCCTCCCTGGAGGAAAATCACAGTGTGCTCCCTGTACACCCCGATGACACCTCGATCCCAGGGAGAGCCCAGGAGAGCCCAGGAACAGAGACCCTTCGGTCTCTTTATCTTGATGAGGTAGGCCGAGCCTGGATAGATTAGGACACATCAGCACGAACTGAAAAGCCAACACCTTTTCTCCAAGTGGCTCACCTAGGATAGGATCTCTGAGCCCTGAGAAAGGAAGCAGAGAGGCTGAGAGGATGGCTTGAGAAGCCTGAGCTAAATCACGGGAAAAGCACTTTGTTGACACCATTATGTTATCACAGATGCAAAGGGTGGCATCAGGATTCTGAATGCAGTGATGATCACCTGTGGCCTAGATGGGTGGACCCCAGCTTAATTACATCCTGTCTCATTCTAGGCCCACTGGCTCTCCCATCGCTGAGACCAGCATGTGAGGACACAGAGAAGGCTTTGCGTCTCCCTAGCCCATCCCCTCCTCCTCGCCCCCTCCCTGGGCCCTGGGCAGGCTTCCCAGCACTGTCAGGCAGAGTGGCTGCCCGGGCTCAGATACCTTGGGCAAAGCCTTGACAGTGAGCGAGGAGCTGCTACATGCACAATTCACATGGAAGGGTGACAGTGATGGACAGGGAAGTGCTTCCATCCCAGCCAGGCTGAGACTCTCCTCCCAAAGCAGCCGGCCTTTGGGGTGAAGCGGTGCAGGGACCCCAGAAACCCCTGGATGGCTCTTGTTTACAGATCCCAGCTGGACTAACCATGCCTTCTTGTTTCCCACTGTATCGAATGGAAGCGCCTTAGCCATCCTGCTATGCCCCGCTCCCACCCCATCTCACTTATTCTAATGTTTATTACAAGTCACTTTCTTTCCAGCCTGGCTAGCTCTACCTATTATGTGACATGCAGGGTCTTAGGCACCTTGGAAGCTACCAACATAAATGGCATGCCTGTCCTCACACTGAGGCTATCTCCCCCAAACCAACAGGATGCAGTGAGAACTCTATTGGCAGCAGAGCTGAGCTCAGGAGCTGGAGGAGGGGGAGAGGTTCTAGGAGGCCAAGTCTGGAGATGGGCAGATGTGGTGACATCTCAGTGCCAGGTTTCAGCACAGCTCAATCATTCTCATCTCAGGGCCTTTCCTCCACCATTCCTCATGACTAGAATGCCCTCTATCTTCCAATTGGGTTCCTGCTTCTCACTTTGCTAAGCCTGTCACCCAGAATTCTATAGAAGGTACAGAAGTGGATCTAATACCAAGATGAAATAAAAATACTGTAAGAGCTTCTGTTTATTAGAACTAGTTCTGTTAGCCAGGAGTGATGCTAAACTCTTTATATACATGATCTCTTCTAATCCTTACAACACTCTCACAAGGCACAGGTATTACTGCCCCTACTCTTATAAATTGAGAAACCGAGTCTCAGAGCAGCTAAGTAACTTGTCCAAAGTCATTCAGCTGGTAAACGGAGTTCCAGTTCTCTCTGAAGCTGGGATTATGACTGCCCTCTATGCTGCCTCCCAAAATTGGTAAGCTCAAAACTCTGCTCTTCCAGAGAGTCCTCAGGGTGCCATCGATAGCACATCTTCAACTGAGTTCGTAGACCAGGCCATCTAAATCTTAACTGCAGGGATCCACCTGTCGAAGGAGAGAGAAGTTACAGACAAAGACGACAGACAGCAGACGCCTTCCTTCCAGCCCCGAGAGGCAGCTTGGGTCGTGGATAGAGAATGGGCTAGAGTTAAACAATCAAATCTGAATGACACTTCACCACTTTGGATGAGTCCCCAAGTTGGACTGATTGTGTGAACTTGGACAACTTGTTCACTCTCCCTGGGGTGTGGTTCCCTGGTATATAAAATGACACAGTTGGTTTGGGCTAGTGGTTCTCAATCCAGATTGCGAAATAGAACCACCTGGGGAACTTGAATAAACTCCTATGCTCAGGCCCCACCCCCAGAAAGTCTGATGAAATTGGTCTTGGTGGGGCCCAGACCTGGGCATTTTGTTGGAAAGCTCCCTGAGTGATTTTAGTATACAGCCATGGGTGAAAACCACTGGTCTCTGAGGCCCTTCCCAGTTCTGTGCTTCTCCAGGAATCTACCCACAGCCGGCCTATTTATGTAAATAAACTTTTATTAGATCACAGCCACACATCATTTACATTTTGTCTGTGGCTGCTTTCAGTCTACACTGGCAGAGTTGAGTGGCTACGATAGAGACTTTAGGGCCTCGAGCCTAAAATATTTACTCTGTGGCCCTTTATAGCTGCAACAGTAATGCTAGTTCTCACTTCCCAGCAGGGATAGGAGGGAGCAAGAGGGCCCAGGATCTGCTCACCATGAGAACCAGGTCTTTTTCATGGCTGTTTCCTCAGTGCCTGGTTCAGTGTCTGACACACAGAAGACTCACAAAGTATGTGTTGGATGGATGGGTAGGTGGATGGATGGACTGATGGACAGATGGACAAATGAACTCAGACCAATCTTAACTGGGACATCGCACCTGCAGAACCATCCTAATCCTCCACCTCAGAGCAACCGGAAGCACAGTATGGAAGGCTGAGTTGAAGTAAAAATGCCTCACTCCCCTGCTGAGGCCCAGGACCTAGAAATGCGCTTCAACCTCCAGGCCCTTCGCCCTCCAGCCCCCAGCATCCTTTACCTCCAGCAGCCCTTTCTGCAAAAGCATGAAAATGTGAGCAGTTCTCTCAGCCAGGCAACTTCCCTCAGCCCCCTTGACATCTGCGGAATTGCACTGTAGGCGGCCTGTTTGTCCCTCGCCTGGGCACTCCCTTCACACACACACACACACACACACACACACACACACACGCACACACACACGATCCTGTTGCACTGCTCCCTTCCTCCTTCCTCCCTCTGAGTATTGCCAGTGCCTCTGGAGTAGCCACAGTTCCACAATTTATGGTGCATTACAGGTGGTGCTCCCCCCTCACCCCCCATAATGTATTCCAGCCTGAGAAGCCTCCAGTCATGGTTTCAGGGTCTGTAAAATGATTTAGAGACCTGTCTCCCTCTCACTGTAAACCCAGAAGCCTGTGCATCACATTTCCTATAAAAATTGATATGTGTACCTGAGCTTGATAAGAGATAGCCCCCACCTACCCACCCCAATCCCCTTACTTAATCACTGGTACCCACAAACATTTAAATTGCTACATCATCGATTCAAGAATTGCTGAATCATTGAATCCATACGCTGCTGGACCATCAAAAGCGAATCTTTCCAAGTCACAGCGCGAAAGCATTGCTGAGTGGGCACAAAGTACCCTCCCGAGCCATGCCTCTGCTCGTGCTGCCCTTGCTGCTCCTAGATCTTCCCAAAAGCCAAATCTCACTTTTAAGTCCAACCTCTGGATGTGCTCTGTGGACATGACTTCATCTGACTCTTGCAACAATTCTGAATAGTTATCGTTGTATTTTACTGAAGAGGAAACTAAAGTACTCAGAGGTCACACAGCCTGAACTCATACCCTAGTCTGTTTGACCCGAAGGCCCATGCCACCCCCTTTCTGAATGGCCTTCTAGCTTACAGGCCGAGCGAACCTCTTCTCTCTTGGTGTGGCCCAGGCCTTTGTTTTACCTTCCTTGATAGCACATATTATCATATTAGAATTTCTCTGGACACCTAGCCCCTAAAATGGGAGGCCTACGCAGGCAAGTAAGAACTGTGTCTAATTTTCCTCATGTCCCTCACACCCAGTTCCAAACTCACCGCAGGTGCAAAACGGGGGCTTTGAATGGGTCCATCCACAGAGGGCTCTTGCTACTTGTCAGGGAGTGTGACCAGCAGAGGAACAGACTTCATAGATGCAAATGCATTCTGAGGTCCAAGTTTCCATCTTCCTTTGGGTGCCTCCCTCACTAGCTCACTCTAAAGCTGGGAGTGGCCTACATTCCCAGAGATCCAGCTGGAATCATGCGCTGCCCGCCTTCTCCTGCCCCCGGCATGGCCTAGAACAGCGGTCCCCTAACCTTTTTGGCACCAGGGACCGGCGCTCCTATGAGAATCTAATGCCTGGTGATCTGAGGTGGAGCTGAGGCGGTGATGCTAGCGCTGGGGAGCGGCTGCAAACACAGATGAAGCTTCGCTCACTCGCTTGCAGAGGAGAATCAGATGAAAACTCAGACACCTTCCCAGAAAAAAATTGAAGCCACAAGAAATTTTTTCACACATGAAATTTTGTACATACATCAATAGATTTGGCATCTCCCGAAGTCCATCAGTGAAGCCCCTAGAGGCATTTAGACCCTAAATTAGATGATAGTCTAAGAATTTTCAGAAGCAGTTAGTGTAAATCACAGAGAACAGGGCATGGGGGTTTCTGAGTAGAAACTGGGTCATAGTGAACCCTGGAGGGGAGCCCAGACCAGCCCCCACCAGACCTTCTCTGGCCGCACTGTCTCCCCCACCTCTTCCTCGGCCCACCTTCTCTGGCTGAGAAAGCCGCCCTTCTCCCCACAATAGCTCTGCCAAGGAGGTTTATCTAACGTGAGTTGTTTTGCATTTGCTTCATTAGAAAGCCTTTTAAAATGCATTTTCAGGTCTGTGTTCAGAACAGTGTGTCTCCATGTAAAAATTTTCAGGCAAATCACTTTAAGGAGGTTGGTTTTTGCCCCTTCTGCCCAGACTTGCCAGGCCCAGTCAGTGCAAACTGTGTGAGAACATCATAAGCCATAAAGCAAATTCAGGGCTCCCAAGACCCCTGACCTGCCTAAGTCTCTCGATTGCACTTAACCAGTGGAGACCCCTGGCTAGCACCTGCACAGCTGAAGCAAAGGATAGACTGAGATGTCACTGTCCGCCCCCCCACCCCCCTACCCAGACTCATGCTGACCTTGACCACACTGACAAAAATCACCCTTCACAGGGGTTATTTTCCCAATTTTACAGATGAGAAAAAAGAGGTCCGGGGAGATGTTGTCTTGCAAGGTCACGCAGCAAACCCATGGCCTGGTTTTCCAACTAGATGAGAGGGCCTCAGACAGCTCTGCAGCTTTGCGATTTTCTGCTGCTTAAAAATTCTAAGAGAAAAGAAAACACTTGGAGATGGTATGCAGGACCTAGCATTATTCTGTACTTTTCCAGACCCTGCAGTTCGCTCAGCTCCAAAAGGCCCAGACAGTGCCGGGGACAAGTGTGGGGACAGGGCTGACAGCTGGGCTCCGGACCAAGTGTTCAAGTGCAGACTGCTGACTCTGCGTGGTGACACTTGACTTCAGCCCCTAGAGAGGAGTGATGTGTCTGACAGAGGGGCCATAGCAAACAGCTGAGCCTGCTGCTCCACAGCAGGCTTCCACAGTCTCTGTGCAGTTTCTGCAGGAAGGTTTCCTTTCAGAAGCAAGACAGAGAGCAGCATGGATTTCTCCTCCGAGTGCAGGGGCCTGTTGTCCACAGACAACCACCTGTGTCCTCAGGCCACACATGGCCCGGCTCTCCCTTTTTTGTGTGTGTGCCTATTCTCCTCCTCCTCCTGCTTTGCCCTGATGCTGCCTGCATGGACTCAGGAGCTCCTTGGGCCGGGTCCTATGTTCCCTGGGCTGGTGCCCAGCTCAGGCGACAGAGGCAGGTGATGAAGGGCCCAGCCCAGTGTCTTATACATGGGGCCATTTAACAATTTTTTGCTGAGTTGAAGAGTAGGAAAAAATCATGAGGGAGATCTAGGATCTGGAAAAGCAAATCTGTTGGGGAAGATACTTTGGAATCTGCTGGTTCCCAAGGCTCAGAGGGTCTGTCCTGGCCAGAGGAGGATTTATTGGGAAGCTAGTAAGTTTATATTTGAGGCCCTCCACTTGCCAGGGCCCCTTCCAAGCCCTGGACCTAATTTTGTATCTATAATTTGGACATAAAACCTGGATCCAGGCCCTCCAGCTTTGCAAACTCTGAGGCCTATGTATTTGAGAGTAGAATCCCAGAATTAGGTGGGATCTCAAAGATAATATCATTCATCTCTCCAGCAGGTAGAGCCATCAGTTACCAGGAACTATTTTCTTAGGGATCTGTAAGGGTAGATGTCACCTTTCAATTGCCCATTTGACTCCCTTAAAGTCAAGAAATTTCTCTTTATATCTGACTGCTGTCTCCTCCGCTAGTTGAACATTATTTTCTCTTAGCCAGGCATTGTGGATGCGGAGGCCATATCTCTCCTTCCTCTAAGAATATTGGCATTTCACTCAGAAAACCTGATAGACAGATGATAGAGACAATGCAACATCATCACCACACTGTAGCCTCCTTCAGAGCATACAGGAAAATCACATTTCCCATCCTTCTTTGCAGGTAATTTGGGACCCTGTGACAGAGTTCTGGCCAATGGTTGTGGGTAGAAGTGAAATAAACTACTTCGAGTCTTGGCTCTTAAAAACATCTTGCATGATCTTCCAGTTCTCTCTCCCCTTCTGCAGAACCTTGGAAAGCCATGTGTTTCAGATAGTATAGCCGTGAAATAGACCTAGCCTGGGTGGGTCCTTGGGCCACTTCTTGGAGGGAACGACAAAGCAGTGATCAGATGGTGAAATGAGAGAGGAATGAATGAACTCTTACTGTGGAAAGACACTGACATTCCAGTATCTAATTGTTACTATGGAACAGCCTAACCCATTCCAATTAACACAGTCTTAGTCTCTCCCCTACCTCTCACCTCTTGCAAGTTTTGGACACCTCTTCTATGGCAACTTAGAAGTTCATATCAACACAAAATAGGACAGTGGGAGTGTACCAGGGCATAAATCACTTTAAGAAAAGTGAATTCATATAAATAATATCTAAACCATCCATAACCCTCCTCTTTCAGTTAAATAGCACCAATACTTTCCAAATTTCCCCTGGATCCAATGTCCATCCCTTTGATCATCTCATGCTCCTTTCTCAAAATTCTCTTCAGTTTCTCCCATCTTTTTTAAGAACCAGTGACCCAGATTAGAAAGATCCCTCTGATAAGAAGAGAATCTATAACATATTTGGTGTAGAATGCAGGAGACCTCCTCTGGCTTCTCCTTATGTCTATAGTTACAGAAACACAATATAGCTTGAAAAGTCTTTAATCCCACATCTCAAGTTAAATCTAGCAAATGAAGCACATGGATTTCTCACTGTTTCTTTCTGAAACTCCACTAAAGTATGAGTTCAAAAATAAAAAAGGTATGAGCCTACGAGAATAAAAAGAATAAAAGAAAAAATCAGCAGAAGACAAAAGACGTCAACAGATTTTTGGAAGATGGAAAGCAGGTGGAGGAATGATCAGAGCTGAGAAATCTGAATACCATGTGCCTACACAGGGGGATGCTAATGAGGATGGAGCCAATTCAAGCTGAGGAATCTTGGCAAGACACCGGAATTACAGGCACCGGTGACTGCAAAGGACAGGATGATTTGTAGAACTGGAAAGTGGGCAGGTTTAGCCCAAATGGAAACTGGGGGGTTGGCAGAAAGATGCCCCAGTTCCCACCTCCATTCAGTACAGCCCAGTGCCCACCTTTCCCCACTCCAGCAGATTTATTCAGTGGAGAAATGTCGAGTCTAAGCACAGATAAGCAGGAACAATAGGAGAGAGGGGCCAGATTACAAATGGCTGTACCCTCAGTCCCCTGTGGCATGTATCTCTAAGGATCTTAGCAATGGACTACACCATCACAATCATCCACCCGACCCCAGAGAGGAGGTTGGTGGATTCTACTCCTAGAAAGACTCCATGCTATCGACATTTAGGGAACCCCAAAGAAATAGCCCTCATATAACTTCTGTGGTGAAGCTTATTGATTGACAAATGACACCCGCTGAGTGTCCAGATAGCTTCGTAATAATATTTTACTCTTAAATATTAGTAGACTGCAAAGGATAACCAAGAACTTGAGGAAAATCTCCAATATGAAAGACAGAAACTGAAACCAGCTGACCAGCAACCAAATAGAGAAACTTGAAGGAAAGAAAACATCAAAGAAATGGTCACTAGTTTCTACAGAGAGATAAAAGAAGATATTTCACCCATGAGACTAGGACAAAGGGCTATGCAAGAAGAAATAATCCAAACTGGATCATGATGATGGTTGCACAGCTCTGAAAATTTACTTAAAAAATTATCGAATTATACACTTAAAATGAATGAATTTTACAGAATGTAAGTCCCCCGCCCCGCCCAAAAAATCTTGTTTTTAAGAAAGGGGATAATCAGGAAAAAAAGGAACAAGCCCTTGGACATGGAAAATATGAGAGCAGAAATAAAATGGTCAATAACTTTTTGGAAGATAAGGTCAAGGAAATCTCTCAGAAAGTGGGAAAAAATAAAGGTATGGAAAATACGAGCGAGAAAAAATACAGAAAGGAGATCCACCTAGGAGACCCAACAAAAGAAACTGAGAATAGAAAAAATGAAAGGGAGTCTCTTGTCAAGGAAGACAAAAATCTCCCAGAGCTGAAGGGCCTGCATTTCCAGATTTTAAAAGCCTGTTGAGCACCCAACACGATGGAAGAATAAAGGCCCACACTAATTTCATGGTGATGTGTACGAAGATAAAAGAAGATCTACAGGGGGAAAAAAAGTTACGGGAAAAAAAAAAGATTAATACTAAGAATGGCATCCAACTTCTCACTAGCAATTTCTCGTGTTAGAAGTCAGAAAACTGAAAAATGAGTTCCAAATTGCCCCTTTTAAAATGGTAAAAACAACAACAAACAGACAAAAACAAATTAAAAAAAAAACCCAAGTCTTTGATAGATCAAAAAGTGTGAATGTGTGTGAGTCTGTACATTCATTTCTCAAAAACCTACGTCCGGCCCAGGCACTCGCTCCCGCTCCCCTCTTCCCTTTCCTTTCATACTGTTATTTCAGCCTTCTGTCCCCTTCCTTTCCCTTGCCATGTCCTGTCCTCTCTTTCCAGTTGTCTCTCTGCCTTAACTGGCCATCACGCAGAATGAAAGGAATTTTTTTTTTAATTACGTTTTTCATTTGTTAAGTCATTTTTATGTTCTG